TCAAAACCTGTCGGTTATAAACTTATTTATTTTTTTGTAATATAGTAAACAATATTTACAATATTTTTGAAAAAAAAAAATGATAAATCGAATGGAATCCAGATTTTTTCTAAGGTATTTATAAAATTATAGATGATTTTGGGCAACCAATGTTTTTTTTTAACGTCTAATAAAAGGAATTTTTTATTTATTATAATTACTATTTGTAGTACAAATAATGCATCCGGTGAATGTAGTCGTTAGACAGAATAGTTTTCCTATTTCAATTTATTTTTATTATTAAATGTTTTATAACCCTGTTTTTCATAAATTTAAGCAACATAATAACTAATTTTTTAAGTATAAATATCATTTTCGTACCAAAAACGTCATTTCGAATACGTAATGACGGTTTTGGTTACGATAATGACATTTATTCATTCCAAACGTTACATTTTTTAACCGGAAAGAATAAAAAACTGGCATAGCGTATTGAAGGCGATGGTTTCAAAATATGGTAACAAATAGTAAATAATATAAAGCACCTTAGTATTGTAAATAATTGCGGTGAGAGCATAAATATAGGTACCTGTTTTGACATATTTTACTTTCTGATGTTTTATTTCAATTTGCTTCTATAACCAGAATTTTTTTCAACTCTAATCTAAAGAGAATATTTTATCTTGTAATTTAAGAATAGAGCTGTTTACTAGAATTTCAACTGAAATAGTTTTTAGTATTCCAGGAAAAGGCTAAGAAAACTTAACTGACTTAGCAAATGGTACACCCCCACGCCAGGTTAATGCTTGCATCTTGAATGAAGGTAATAAATCACTTGTTAACGTTCAGTTTTTTTCCGGTAATAATACGTTTTACGCATTCTAGTATTTATAGATTATCAAAAGCCACCCATATGTGCTTGTTGTAGGTGAAAATTTTCTAATATTATAAAATAAGGCTATGTTTAATTTTTCACCATATTTATTTTAATTTTCATAGCTAGGTTTTGCCCAGTAAGCCCTCTTCAAGCCATTTTATCCAACCATGCTTTTTGCATGTAGCCCAAAGATTTTGATTGGATAAAATGGCTTGAAGATGGCTTATTTGCAGAAACGTAACTATGAAAATTAAAATAAATATGGTGAAAAAATAAACATAGCCTTATTTTATAAAAGCCACCATTTATCTATCCCAGTTTTGGGTAGTGTATCAAGGTTCTCATGCTAAAAGTTGATTTGCAGTTTGGATTCATGTCTAAAAACATTTAAATGTTTTAATAAAACTTTCCTAGAATTTATAAGTTGTGTTTTGCCATTCCCTTCCCCCAGGGTAATAGGGTATGCTCCCCTCCCCCCCTCTGCCAAGAAGTTTTATCACTCTCCTCTTCTTGAAAGCATTGCAATAGAAAATAGAATCATAAAAATCGTAGATTATTTAAAATTACACTTTCTGAGGTCCATTCCACGTTTTACCTATTTGATAGATTTGATAGCTCCCTCAAAAAATTCATAACTCCATTAAAGTGTAACTCCTTCAAAATGTTTGATGGCACAACTTGTGCTATCACCTGGACCTCTCTGGTAGGTAATAATATAATATAATTGTTAAACACTCTGGGAACCTAAGAACCAGTTACTTTCTAACTAAATTTAATAAGTACATCAATATTTCTTAATAAACTCTAACATGTAATACATTTGTTTTTAAATTTGCTTAAGGTTTTCGTTTTCCAAATTATGTTGGCATACCTAATAATGTCTCTGATATTAAAATCAATGACTTAATTAATACATACTTTTAATAATTTATGTAAATATTTTATACATCAAATAATTTAATATATTAAATAATTGAAATCTATCATTTCAGATATTTTATATCTAAAAGAAAATGTAGTCTATTTGGGAATGTACTTGGTTTTGTGAAATTAAAGGACTCATGGTAATTTGATGCAATATAAATATTTCAGCTGGATAACAATAGGATGAAAGATCTTCTTAAAAAGGTGACAGCAAACCTACAGTATTCAAAACATACATTTTAGGTAAATAATCATTTTAATGCTTAAATATATGAAAATTACTAAAAAATTTAATACTGGAAGTGCTTACAATACTAATTTAGTTTATTATTAATTTTTTTTTATAGATTAATTACCAATTTTTTTTTCTATCATTTCAATATGGAAGGTGTACAGGGTGGATTAAATAATTAGTTTCTAATTCTAAATTTTGATGAGACAACAATATCAGTTTACTATAATCTTAAGTTCACGAGTACTTGTCTATATATATTTGAATAAAGCAATTGTGGAGCATATTATACTTCTACACCGAACAATTAAAGAACATATTACTTCAGGGAATAATAATAATTGAAATAATAATATATTTTCTCTTAGCTCCAAACAAGCCATCTAAAAAGTAAGAAAGAAAGAAAGATCTGATTCTTTAAGGAATAATAAAAAATAATAAGTTATTAGAAAACTTATCTAACTTTAACAGATATTTTAAAATGAAAATTAGCTTTTTATTTAAAATTAATGTTGTACGCAGAGATGAATTAATATTCCTAGAGGAAATTATATTTTCCTATACACATTTCCTATACAGTATCAGTATTGTAGAGATAAAGGAGCCATTTATGTAAAAAAACCCTTATGAATATCAAGGATCAGATGACAGCATTTACAAAATGCCTTGAACAAGGGCAGAATAAAAAAATTGACAAGACTAAATAGATATTGGTGACTATTTCATGTCACTTTCATATTAAAATATGTGCTACTAAGTTATGAAAGATTAGGTTTTTACAATGATTAAATAAATAAGCTAACATTCCAGGAGTTAGTTTAATAACTTTTTTAATATTTGCTATGCAGTTTTTCAATATTAGACTATCGATTTGAAAATACTAATAGCAATTACAAATCGATAGTTTAATGCAGTCAGTTTAAAAATTAATTATAAAAAAAAAGATGGAACTTCGTTTCATCTGATATTTTGGCAATGTAAGCCCTGTTGTCATCTAATTTTATGACTTTCTCAGGGTGTTATAGTGTTTTTCCATCTAATTACAATTATATCCTTTTTCTAGAGAGGAAAAAGAATAAGCTTTATATTGGACAAGGTAAAAGAAGACATTTCCATTATCAAGTCTGGTGTTTTGAATGTTTTTCAAGTATTTTCTTAATAATCAAATGTACCATAAATTATCTTTAGGTTATTTTAACAATAAAAATTAAAACACATTAACAATAATTTAAGCATAATATAAATGAAAACAATAAAATACCTATTATGTATAGCAGGGAATGTTACAAAATTATACTTAGAGTTCACTGAGAAAGTTAGGGGAATTAATGATTCAATTAAATGTTACAGTAATTGATAAATGAAAAAAAAAAATACAATGCTTCCATACCTTCTGTAGCGAGAAAGCAAAAAGTGAGACAAAAAAAAAATTATACAGTAGTATTAACATTAACATTTGTAGTCTAATTTTTTCAAAATATTCCATGATTCGACGGGTCAGAATTTATATTTTATATTTGTGTGTGATATTTTATAAATAATTATAATAATTATTATAATTAATATATATATTAAAATAATAATGTATTTATAATAGTAATATGTCCTATTATTATGATTATAGTATTATAACTATTATTATACTGTGGCCACAACTATAATACTAATTAATTAATTATACTTTAACAACGAGACATAAAAAATATACTATACACCATACAGACTTTAGCATTATTATGGTTCATTTAATAAAGTTTTATATACTAAAAAGACAAAAAGATAAAAATATATATTGATATGTTCTCTAATGTTTTATTTGTATTCATAAAAAATGTTGATATATTTTCATTTCCTATTCTAATAAACTGCACACTTCACATACACAAGAAAATGAAAATGTTAAAAAATAATAATACAAAATGTGATACACTACTAGCTAGCTGAAATGAGTAAATTAAATACTTTATCTGATAGTAAGCATGAAAAAGTATATCAGATAGAAAAAAGTACTGAAATATTAACTATCTAAATATATGTCTATTTAATTGAATATAGAATTGCTGCTTATTCGGTTTAAAGTCCTTATATATCTTCGTTGTTTATCATAGAAGTGAGTTAATGACCTCAGGGGTATAATGTACCTCCCCAAATTTTTTAAAAGTACAAGAAAGAAGGATCGTTTTACAGGTCATTAACCAAGTCTAACATGAGTGAAAAGATTGAAACTTATTCTATGAGTTCACCATGAAATAAGAATTAATCTTCCCATGATGTTAAGGGGCCAAGTGGGCTAACAGGTGTGCATAGTACAGCGAGTTGCCTAGCGACCAGATAATCAAAGTTATGAACGATGAAATAATTACGAGTTCACTTTCCAGTTTCGGAAGAGCTTTTAACTCTGCCATTAATCCCCAGCCCTCATCCTCTGGTCCAGAAAAACCTCTCATAGCCTAAAAGGCAGGAAAGGGGAAAAAAAATTTCCCGTGCTGGATATGTAGTGACACCATTTATAATTCAAGGTATTGCCTCAAAAATTTTTAACACCATGGCCTTAAGGATGTAATTAAGATCTGTGGCTTTTTTTAATATTTTCCTATTTAACAAACATTTTTTTGTTGCGGTCAATTTTTCTATGTAGTATATTTTATAATTTCATGAGTGAGGGAATGAAAACTTACATTATAAACTGTAATAATGTTTTAAACAAAATGTTCATTTAATAGTCATTCAGTTAAACCAAATCTGTTGTTTTCAATCACTCCGAAATTAAAAAAAAAAAAAAAAAAAGGGGGTTGAAGAGATAATAATTGTGTTAATTTTACTTCAAAGAAAACATATATTATACTATAATCAGCTTTGCTGTAATAACATTAAATTACATTAGAATGTTTAGTAGTTGAGTGACTACAGTATTTTGATAAAAACATGGAAATACAACTACATCCAACAAGTCTTTCCAATAATAAGTTAAGTATTTTATGGGTTAGTAGTTGGTATTTTGAAATATTATAAAAGATTATTTATTCTTTATTATTATATGTTTAATTACCTTCTATACATTTTAAATTCTTCATGATCAAATTTTGAGTAAAATTTTACATTTATATTAAGAGGTAATAAATTGAATTAAATTTACTTGATTATTGATGTGATACTAGTGATATATTGTCTTAATACAATAACCTGGCTAAATATATGATTAATTGAGGAATGGGACATTTACATATATTTTTTTGTTTGGAATTGCCATTGGATATATTTTTTCTGTTGATATTTTTGTCTCATCTTTATTTATTTTAAGTCCCAAATCAATATTTGGTAAGATTTTTTCTTCAGATTCTTCTTCTAATTTTATAAGTGTTTCAGAGTCTCGATAGATCATACAGGCAGCTCTCATGGTAAAATAATATACAATTTCAACTCCTGAGAGTAGGGAAAAACCAAGAAATAGTCCAGCTATTCCTCCAAAAGCCACTAAAAACATAACAAAAAATCATAGATCATTCAGTATTTTCACTCAAATGGATAGATAAAAATGAAAATGTGCATAAGTTGGTTAATTGAAGTATTATTGAAATAATTTAACACCTTATTTTTATGAAAACTGTATGTTTTATTCATGTATATAAATTTAATTACTGCCTCATTTAATAGCATGATATTATTTTATGATAAGAAAAAAAATATGAAAGGTTCAAATAAAATTATTTTAACATACCCAAAATGGTACATTAGCCACCCATTAAATTTATTGATAATTGAAAATTAACTTGTGTGTATCATTTAGTATTGTAATTACTACCAATTTATTTTTTGTTAAAGTTAAATTGGTTATAATTAATAAAAAAAACACACTAGATCAATCTGCATTAAAAAAATATGCCCTCACCCAATATCTGAAAAATGTTTTAAACATTCAGCATAGCCATCAAATAATCCCCATGATCCAACTCTTTATTCAGTAGAGTAAGACCATCTATTGCACATAGAATAAAAACCATTGTAATAATCACAAATGGAAGAAAGAAATCCTTTATTTGAAGAAAGGACAAATTCAGTTAATTTTACAAATCATTTTAGCAAAAATTAAATTAGTTGGAATAATAATTCCTATGACAATAAAGAATATTTTATTAGCTAATATTTAAATAAAGAAGCAGATAGTAATACAGTTTTAATTCATGCTTCATGATTGAGATATAATTTATTTACTAATAATAAAAAAAATAATATTATCATAGAACGGTGTGAACTACATTCAAAACATAATTTTTTTTTTTTTTTTTTCTTACCCTCCAAAATGTTTATTGAAACAATTACATATATAGTATACAATATACAATATCTACATGTAATAAATTCCTTCCACTGCCCGAGGGCATTTTAAGGATTGGAGATAGCTAAGGGTTACATATGTGGCAGAAGGCCTTGTGACTTTGACATTGAACGGGGAAGGACCGTTCTGCTAATTTTTTATTATTTATAATATATACAAATTAATGGGTTTGGACCGCAGAGATCAGACCACATCCTTCGGCGAGTATGTCCACCAAAAGGAGTTTACCTTGCCACCTCCCAGGTCTGGGTGGTGGTGAGATCTCATTGAACAGTGAGTTTGCACAGGCCTTCAGCCCATCAAAAAATTTGATGTGCCTCCGGCCTATGAACTCAGGTACCGAGGGGAGCTGGAGCTCCTCGCGTATTGTTTGATTCTTAGCCCTTTGTAGGGTGGTGCCACGGACAATTCGCCGAAGGATAGAGTTCTGGAAGCCCTGTAGACTCGTAAGCGTGGATTTATATAGGTATCGCAGGAGAGGGGCCCCGTGGAGCAGTGTTGGTCTTATAATAGCTTTATAAATTTGGAGCTTGAGTCTCAGCGAGAGCTGCGGCGACGTCAGTAGGTGGTAGAGCCGGTGTGACTTCTTTCGTGCCAGTTTGATCCTCTGCCTAACGTGATTGGAGAAGGTCAAATGTCTATCTAGCGTGACGCCGAGGTAGACAATCGAGGTAGAGATTTTATGATAAGCTCCTCAACGGTGAATTGTGTGGGTAGATGCTTCTTTCCCTTCTGGAACGACATGACAATAGCATCAGTCTTCGCAGGATTCACTCTGATACCGATCTCTTCTAGCTCTTCAACAATTGTGGCTGAAGCATTCTGTGCCAGAGTGAGTGCAGTCTCCGCGTTGATGCTGGAAGCATATATGCCAATGTCGTCCGCATAGGCTGCTACCACCGCCTTTGGATGCTTGAGTGCCACCACTGGCGCCGTGAAAACGACGAACAGTATTGGCCCCAACACAGACCCTTGAGGTACTCCGCAGGTGGTATCGACTGGGTTTGAGTAGTCTGTACCAACTCGTACGACGAGAGATCTTCCGCTGAGGTAGCTTCGGATCAGTCGGCATAGAGTGGTAGGAAACCTGAACTCTTCCAGACGGCGAAGTAGATGCGTGTGTGACACGCAGTCAAAGGCCTGGCTGCAGTCCAAAGAGATGAGCGCCGTAGCTCTGTTGAGACTCATTTCATCTATTGTGTGGGCCTGAAGTTTAGCTAGGTGGTGTTCACACGCGACCCCTCTCTGGAAACCAGTCTGCTCTGGTGGTATGATGCTCTCTTTCCAGCAGTGCTTCATAAGCTGATGGTGGATTAGCCTCTCGAAAATCTTGCTGATGTGCGAGAGGAGGCTGATCGGACGATAGTGCTCAGCTGAGTCTCCGTTCTTCGCCGGCTTGAGTAACGGTACAACGATCGCTTGTTTCCATGCGGTAGGAAAGTATGAGATTCGAAGACATGAGTTGAATATGTTCAGTAGAAAGGCTTTACCCTTCCTAGGGAGCATCTTCAGCAGTACGTACGGAATCTCATCCAGTCCAGACGCTTTGTTTCCTTTGGTGCGTCGTAGTGTCAACTCCAGCTGGTTGAAGGTAGAGAAGACGGGTTCTTCGTTGGGACTGGGCAGTGGTCCTTCTGGTATTGGTGGTGCATTTCTCGTCCGCTCAGCATCTCTCGCTTCATAGCTTTTGGCCAGTAGTTCAGCCTGTTCCTTAGGTGTCAGCAGCTCATTCCCCGACATCAGGTGGACAGTCCTCTTCTTGTTAATGAACGTTCGGACCAGTCTCCAGAACTGGCGGTGGTCATCATGAGTCCTCCGGAGCTGGTCATGCCAGAGTGAGGTCTTCCAGTCTCACATGAGGCTGGCTATCTGCCGGGTCATCGCATTGATGGCCGGTTTCAAGCTGTAGTCACGCGTGCGCTGAAAGATGTTCCTCAGGTTGTTCCTCTGACTGATCAGGGCGAGGATGTGACGTGGTGGTCTCCTGATGGCGTTGGGCTGCGGAGCGAACCTAGGGATGTTCAGGTTGGCTGAGTCCTGGACAGTGGTGGTGATGACATCCACCGCCTCGTTTACCTCTTCTACTGTCTGGCACGGCGTTACCGCCGGTAAAGTGGATTCAATGCTAGACCTGTATCCTTTCCAGTCGGCCTTGTGGAGTAAGTATTTACTCGCCAGTGGTTTGGCGGGTGTGCCCTCGATCGTGTAAAGCACAGGCCAGTGATCCGACGTTCCATACGGAAGCGCTTGGCAATCCATAATGGTGTGCAGATCCCTGGTTAATAGCAGGTCCAGTGTTGATGTCCAATCAGGTCGGGCCGAATGCCGGAAAGTGTGTACACCTGGGTGAAAGACGGCCAACCTAGTCTTGGTGATGTACTTCCCCAGTGGATTGTCGCTACCACACAGCCAGGAAGTGTGTCGAGCATTGAAGTCCCCAAGGACTACAAGCCGACCCGTCACCTGGGCATGTTGTAGCAGCAGCTTAACAGATGTCAGTCCAGCTCTGGGTCTCCTATAGACACAGGTGAATGTGAACCGTGTCTATAGGAGTGTATTGGAAATAGCTCAATACTTTGGCTATATCAGTTCTTAAACAAGTCACTTTAATGAGTATAAACTAAAGTTTAAAAACATATACTGAGGAAGCAATATTTTAATTGACTGAAAACTAGCAAATAATACAATTAGTTGAAAGATTTATAGATTCATAATTTATAAATGTTATAATTTTATGTTATATTATTGAATGTTTATAGATTTATGGATAGCACTAAGTTGGTAGCCCCATTTTCATAAAATCGTTAAGAAAAATATTGATGTTAGTTTTCCAAGAATAAAAAAATTATAGAATTTAAACAAAATTTTGGTCTTTCAAAATATTTCATAAAATCTAAGTAATCAGTAATTTGAAAATTTCACTCTGATTTTGATTCAAATTTATTATATTTGTTCAATTAATTATTTTTTTATTTATATTTACCAAGAAGATCAACCCATCCAAACAAAACCTCTCTTTTGTAACGAATCATAGGCCAAGAAACGAATCCAATTTCAATAGGCTCTTCACCAATCCTAAAAAAATATTTAGAGATGAGTAAGTAGTCGTATGATCAATTATATAGATGAAACAAAATTTTCAGAAATTTCAGTCAAGATAACCGACATTTCGACCCAAACATGTGGGTCCTCCTTGGGGCTATTGTTTGGAAGTCAACACAAGAAATTGCCCAGTTGATTTGAGGAAGACCCACATTTTTAGGTCAAAATGTCGGCTAACCCAATAAAAATATCTTGACTGAAATTTCTGACAATTTTGTTTCAGTGAAAAAAATATTTAGAATACATGCTTGCGTTACTAAATAGTGTTTAGAAAAAAAATAAAATTATATATCTTACAGTAATTATATTTTCTTAACATAACCTAAATTTAAGAAATACTTTTTACATTTAACATATTGAAAAATCTTGGTAACCTATGAGTGTATATAAACTTTGGAATTCAGTTCACTTTTAAATCAAATGCAACCTTAGTTTTTTCAATCTAGGGGTATTTTCTATTCCACTACAACTTAATAAATTACATGCCATATAATTAGTAAATATGATCACATATCTGTACATCAAAGCTAAACTATCATAAGTAACATTTTAATTGTTTACATAAAAGAAAATAAGTTTCAGATCAAACTGTATTGCTTGCTGAGGACAGTAGGCAATCTTTATATTACAAGTGCAGCACTTTAATTACCTTTTAGCTTATTTATGATTGCCATCCAGAAAATATGTTCATAATAATGTGGATAATAAAATAAAATAAAAATTAGTATAACTAAAGCTATGATAGTTTTCTGAAGAACAGATGTATTTAAACGATTTAGGTATTCACTTGGCAAACCATGTCACAAAAACTATTGGCGAATATTACTGTATACTAATATAAGACAAATAAATAGTATCCTAAGTGTTTAAATTTATAGAATAATTTTATTAACCCACACTCATATATATGTTTATGTTTATTTAATATATAATGAGTTAGAAATTGAAAAATACAAAGTAAAATATCTCTCACTTCATGCACGCCAATATATTTATATTTTATAGTGAAACCTACTCTACTGCATTGCTGAGTTTCTCTACTTCATATACAGTATTCTCACAACCCAGCTCGCAAGGGCAGTTGAGTGATCTGCGTAATTCATCTACAATCAAAAATCTTTAAGTATAACTCCAAAATATATAAATAATTTTCATTTTTAACTCTTTTAATCAAAGTAACTTTATAACAGTGAAAATTATATAAAATTAACTAATACATAAATTTTAAAATTGACATTAATTTATTGACACAGTTCTTACCGGCTATTTTGGAAATGCAAATAAGGCCTTCTAAATTACAATAAGGAAATCCACCTTAAAAAAAAAATCAAATTATTTTCTTAATTTAGTGTTTAGGAAATGGAAGTGTTTGTTTTTGTTTTTATTTACTTACTAACTTGATGATAGAAAAAAGGAACACAATCACACTTGTCCAAAGCTGCTCTCATGCGACAATCTGACATGCAAGCCCAGTATGAATATTTTTCTGCTGTTTTCAGCTTTACTTCATCTTCGAAGATGCATTTCCTTTGCTTGGCTGTTAATTGTCTTGCATCAGCTGTTACAAATACAAAATTATTGTGATACAAATTACTCATGAGATTTAGCCTGGGGTGCAAAACCTTATTTAAAACCAAAAACATAGATATTTTAAATTAATGACTTATTATTAAAATAAAACATTTAAAAATTAGTTTGGCTGGATTTAAAACAAGACATGTAGGTATTTTATATTGTGATGTACCGAACAAAAGTTTTACATTCTCAATCAGTGATAAAAAGTAAGATATTATTGACTTGAATAAATTGTCCAGGACTATAAAAATTGAAATGTATTTATGTGGGACAGAAATCAGTTGATATACATAGGAATAGATTTACGAATTTCTAAAGAAAATGTAAACAAAATTAAGAAGAGCTTTTTCTTTCCCTCATCGTATTTTGTAAAGTTGTTGAAATTTACAAAGCTTTGATTTTTTCTCACTTTGGCACAGCTATCACAAAACAAAACATAACCGTCCCAGTCAAAAGCTTCATTGAGAAATTCACAAATTTATTGCGACAATAAGGACTCAGGGATCAATTTGATTTTGGTTATTTTACAGATTAAACAAAAAAGTTCACTGGGAAATTTTTGACATAAAATTAATTTATTTGATAAATTCAGAACATAAAAAATAAAATTGGTAGGGAAAACAATTTTAGACTATCTTCAAATGGTGCTTTCAGGCTTTCAGAGCCCCTAGTGCTTATCATTGTTACAATAATAAAATAGTAACTACATTATAATTTTCAAAGAATTGATTGCTATTGTATTTAATGTTTTGATTGCACATGTAAACATTTAGGTTTAATATATAAATATATTATCTAACAATATTATGATGTGAAATACACAGATATAATTAAAGGGGATAAAAGTGATATGAAATGAATGATAATTGTATAAATGATATGCTACATTAAGACATGTTATCTCTGATGTTTCCTCGACTTATGAGAAACTGCACATATACAAAATGTTTTGATTCAGGATTATTTCATTTTGGCTGAAATTTTATGCACAAAATTAATTATTATTTTTTTCTTTATGTTAGTATACTACCAGTTAATTCTTACCATTTAAAAAAAATAGAGCACAATATATTGAAAATTTAATTTTTGAACATATTTTTGTCTCTACTGATTAGCTGAGATTAGATAGTTAGGCAGTTTCACATTAATCCTGACAATATATAATAAAACATACCAGTAGTATAGGTGGTTCGAGATGCAAAGAACATTCTATTAACTGCTTGAGTCCACACATGCTGAGGCGACATTTCGATACCAGGTAGTTCGTCAGATGAGTGAATATAAATCTAAAAGTTCATTTAAATGGTTTTCATAATTGCTTCTTTTCAATGAATATTCACATATAAATAAATTAATAAATAGATATTGAAAAAATTTGCATTATAATTATTACTAATTTTTATCACCATTCAATTAAATATTATATAAGTTGATGGTATTAATTACACTGTATGGATTGTCTGTAGTATTTCCATCAAATTCTATTGTCCATTTAGTATCAGTCTCATATATATAATTTATTTTTATTTCGATTTCACCCTCATTTTCTTTCCTGAAAAAAGAAAAGAAAAGTGAGAGATCATAAGTAATAATAATTAGAACTACACAAAACATTACAAACATTTTTTTTTTATTATACTGTAGTAATATCAGATATATATTTATATTATACAAATAATATTTTAATTATTTTATGCCTTTGATTGAATCCTGTCTCAGATTATTCTTTGTTTACATTTTTATGGGAGAGATGGTTACAATTCCATAGAGGATCAATTTTTGTTTAGTCTAAGCACACCAAAATAGATTCTGACTGAATTAACCACTGTAATGTTACGTAATTGATATTTATGGCACAAATATCACACTGATTAATCATTTTATCTTAACATGTTTAATTCTATCTAAACTTTTCATCTAATGCAATCCACAATTATTATTTCTGATTTCTAATGTGTGAATTTTCACTAGTTGTATTGTTTGTACAGTTGTAAATTTCATTAAATAAATAAATAAAAATTATTTCTTAAGACATCAGTTGACAATACAGTTAAGTCATTATATTAACTCCTTCTGATCCACCTGTCCATAATAAAATATTACAATGCTCAGTAGGAGATAATAAAAAGGTTGTCTCTTTAACTCAAAAAAGACATATTAATTCAAGAGAATCGAAAAAAAATTAAGGAGCAACATTACAGAAAGGTTGTGGCAAGTCTGTGGAATCAAGGTAGAGAAGAAATGGATATGGCACAACAGTTATCAATTGAAGTATTTATACGAATACTTATTATTTATAATTGTATAATTAAAATTTTCAATAAGTTTAGTACATTTAGTATTCAATATTCTGTAAATGATTGAAGATAGATTATCTATGATATGAGAAAAAACATTACATTAGATTCAATTGATATATTGTGTTACAAAGATGCATTCCACCAATATTCTGCTTTGAGGACATTTTATCTATTCTTTTTTTTCCAAATTAATTTATTTTATTTTATTTAAACCCTCAAAGGACGTAGTGCTTTATGCCAACCAACGGATTGGATTGTCTTCCAAAAATTGAGACATGTACTAACTAATAGACATAACTCCATGTTTTTCAGTGAAAACTTACATTTTAGTAAATATTTATTTTAACCCTATTAAAAAGTTATCAAAAATTAAAGAAAAAAAAAATTAAATGGAGTTATTCTTTTTGCTGCAATAGGCCTCAATTAATGTTGATATAAAGTCAATGGTGTACTGCAGGATATGTTTGATTTGCAGTAGCATGTTATTTTCTGAGATAGAATTAACTATACAAATTAAATTCTACATAACATGATACACATCAGACATTTATAATTTTTTTCATATTCTGCATTGTATAAAGAAAGCAAAGAATTCAGTATATTGTAAGAGATATAAGGAAATATATAACTACCAATGAAAAACTTTATTTACCAAGGCCATGTCTTTTCTGCATGTATGGAATTGAATGAATAGCAAAATCCTTTTTCTGTGAATGTGGGAAAGAAAGCGTCACAGCAATTAAACTCTTTTCCTTTCCAGTAACAATCCAGTATTAAATCTTCACAATGATCAACTACCTAATGCAACATAAATTTAAAAGGTTGATTTTTTAAAATTATGTTTTATGTAATTATTTTACTACTATTGATAAAATGATTATTCATTTCTACAAAAGTAGGTAATACTAAAGGTCAGATCTAACTACCATTTTTTAAATTAATACTACAATTTGATTCCAGAAATAGGTTGTAAATTCATGCTAGATCCAGACTGGAGTAAGTGCATTCAGAAGGTCGTCTGTAGATGGTCGTGCCTCCAGTAAAAAAACTCATAACATGTTCAAGTATTAATTACTTAATAGATAAAATATTGTATTCATTATATAAATTACCTTACCTAACAATCTCAGAAGTGACTTTGGTGATAGTAAATTTGTTTTTTCAGTATAAATGAAAATCTCTTATTTATTAGCTCTTTAACTTAAAAAAAAAAATAAGGCAAATAAAGAAAGTTAAAAGGTTACATATGGGATCATCGAAATATAATAATACATTTTTAACAGTCATCCATCAATGTAAATTTGATATAAATATATAAAGAGTTTTAAAACATGTTTAATCAGCTAACAAATAATGAATTTTTAAAGTTGGAAAAAAGCTTCTAATTACTATAATTGTTCTTTTTCCCTCTCTTTAAGATATCTTGCATATAATTTTAAGGTATCTCGTTAAGTTCTAAAAGAAATTTTTGTGATCAAAAGTAAATGCCCATATTCATCGATAAAGAATATTAAAAAATGTTAATTTGTCTAACAATTGATTGATTTTTAATAATTACAAAAAAATTCTGGATTCTGTGGCAATTAAAGAGATTCTATTAAAAAATCAAAACAAATCAAATAAGGTGGAACCCCACTTGTCTGTATTTTCTATATTCAGAACCTTTTTTTATTTTTATTTCTGACAAATTTGATTTGTGACATTTATTTATTTAAGGTTGCTTTAAATTTTGTAAAACAGTATGATGAGGCTACTTATTATTATCAGTATGCCTACTAATTATTGTTAAAATGGTGGCTAAACAATGCTGCTAGAAAGTAAGTGCTCATTTATTATAATATATTTTTAAAAAATTGTTCTTCTAAATCGTTTCCTCTTCTACTGCTGAGCAGTGCTAGGAAAACATATTTTAAAAAATTAAATAGTAAAATCTTTTAAAATTATATACTTATGTTTGTACGCATTTACATATTTCTGTAAATATTTATATTTGAAAAATACTTTGAACTTGAATATCACTTTAAAAATGTCATTAATATCAAGAATTTTCATCCTCGTCTCTCTGGAAATTCTTGTTATATTTAATATAAGTAAGAAACAGGCTACATCATTCTAGAAATATGAGGTTGTGCTTAAGAATGTATGAACGTAATTTTGTGAATTACCTTATACACAAGAGCTCTAAAATCACTGTGTGGTAGAATTTTATCATTTTGGTATGCCTCTAATTCATTCATATTATCATAAGTCAAGTTAGCTATTATATTAATGAAGTTGCTCAAGTAATTTATTTTTTCTTCTGTAAGAGATTCTCCCCATTTTCTAAAAAAAAATAATGACAATTAATAATTTAAGTTTATTATATTTAAGTTATACATAGTTAAGTTATTGTATTTAAGTTATAATCATCTCTTCTCTTTCTTTGAATTTAGTACAGCCCTTAAAGCATGTAAAGAATGTTCCCTAGGACCAGACCGCATCACTTATAGTATGTTAAAAAATTTATCTTATAGCAAAATAGCACTCTGTCAATTTCTGAATAATGCATACTGTTCAACAATTATTCCTGATTCTCGTAAATCCGAAATAATACCCATTTTGAAAAGAGGTAAACCAAAAGAACTGATGTCTGGTTACCGACCTATCACGCTAACCAGTTGTGTTTACAAGCTGTTGGAAAGAATGATAGCCAATTGTTTAAAACGGTTTATGGGAAGTAAAAACATTCTTTGCTAATGGCAAAGTGGTTTCCAAAGCAGCAGAAGTACACTAGACAACCTAATAAAATTAGAAGCTGACATAATAGGAGCTTTTCGATCCAAGGAATTCCTCTTAGTGGCATTTTTGGATATCGAAAATGCATTCAACTCTGTATGCATAAAATATTGACTAAATACATTGACTGAAATTGTGATATACGGTGAAATGTTTTGATTTATATTTAACTTCTTAAACAATAGGAAGTTTTATGTAAAATCCGGCAACGCAATATCTAATGAATTTGAACAAATAAGTGGTGTTCCACAAGGTATTAATGCAAAAGTAAGATTCCCAGCTAAAATTTTGATGTACGCTGATGATGTAGTGATTTATGTTATATTCACAAAATTCTGCAAGAATCTTTATTAGGTGTTACATTTTGGCTTAATACACGTGGTTTTAAAGGTTCCGTCACCAAAATACAGGTGATATTATTTACGAGAAAACAAAATTTTTCGATTAGAAATATTAAAATTAACAGGAAGAATTTATTGTATCTTGGTGACACCTTAGACTGCACTCTTACATGGACACCCTATATAAAATAGCTTAGGACTAATTGTCTACATTAGTGAGCCTTCAAATCGAAGCTGGTATAATGCCACTGGCTATACGGAGACAAATTTTAGACTTGGCCATCTATGTAAAAATAATTTCTAGACCCACTCATCATTAAAAAAACACACTCACTATACCAACAACAGTTATCGTAAACCTACCAACTAAATTATCTTTAGCAGAAAGGTGCTCAATACAAATCACAGACTTTGATCTCGCATCTTTTCCTTCAATTCTAGAAGTACAGCAATTGCAAACAGAGCTCTGGCTGCTACCAATTCCTAAAATTCATAAAGCCAAATGTAACAAGAACCTTGCTTCAAAGTTAGGATTAGCAGAGATCACGCACTTCCAACTGAAACATTCCGATTGGGAACACCTTTATATAGATGGATCAAAAACTCAAGATGGAGACGGTGCGGTCATTGCTTTTGGCAATGTACAAATGTTCTCGTTACCCCCATATTGCACTTCCTACCACGCAGAACTGTTTGCAATAAATTGTGCCATTTGTACTATCAACTGTAATAAACAGCAAATTTATATTTGTACAGATTCAGAATCTGCTCCTAAAGCTATGAACAATTCTTTTTCAACTAACTCATTAATCACAGACACAGTTAGGCATATAAAAACATTGGAGAGTGTAGGATGTAAGATACAATTTTTTTGGTTACCGGGTCACTCTGGTATTAGAGGTAATAGCCGATATCATGGCAAAACAAGCAATCACAAAAGGAAGTCCAGTAAGGGATGCTTATCCAAAGTAAGTAGTAGTTTTGGTAAAGAGAAAGGCTCTGGAGAAATGGCAGGATCTCTAGCATGTTTTAAGAGACAAGAAGTTGAGAGTGATTTAGCCCTTTGTAGTTCTAAGTCGACCAGACCTCCAGTTGAACAGAAGAGAAGAAATAATTCTGACAAGGCTCTGAATTGGACACACAAGGCTAACTCATACGTACCTAATGACAAAGGGGACACCCCTTCAGTGTTTCTGCTGCGGAGTTAATTTAACAGTCAGCCACATTTTGACTGATTGCTATGCTTATGAAGCACAACGAAATGAAGTTGAATTGGAGAATATCACTGAAATTTTGAAAAATATCCCCAAATTGGCTAACAAATTGTTTATATTTCTTCAAATAATGCACCTATATAACAAAATTTAAATTTGCTTACACTTTTTAAGAAATTTTAATTTTTAAATATTTTGTACTTTCAAATATATTGTTTAACTTCATCTAATGTAATATAAATAATGTGCAAGCGCTAAAATGACCCATAAGAGGTTGAGGAGCCCCCCATCATTATAAGTAAATAAATAAATAAAATTTATGATAAATAAGCAAGTTGTATTTTGAGAATAATTTTTTAAAAACTTATTAATTAATTGATATAAAATCATCATTAAAATTCTTATTAACTATTAGGTACACAATCACATTTATGAAATATGTTGTCATAAAAAAGGATATTAATAAAAGGATAATATTGAATATACATTTGCAAATAAACAGTAGAATTGTATGCTTAAGTGATTAAACACATACAGATTAATTAAACATATACATTAATACAACATTGGATAATAATAATTGTGAGGAAATATCACACACAAATAGGAAATATGTCATAGACTGAATTTACTCAAACGTTTTATGATATTGTTCTCCTTCTGATAGTTTATTGGTGAGAAATTATATAATGTATTATCAATCTAATTTCTATTGAAACCAATATTCATAAAAATAAATAAGTAACTTACTCTTTGACATATTCTTCAATTACTGCACGCCTGGCTGGACTAAAGGGGCAGACTGAAATTCCAGGAAAAGGAACATCCCAGTTATGAAAATCAGTATCCAAACCAGTTATAGTAGGGTTTGTTTGAAACTTCTCCCATAAAGAAACTATAATAATTAATGTGACAATGGTACTTGTGGATACAAATATAAGCCACATGAAGCTGAAATAACACAATTAAACAATTAGCAGGTTAAACAAAAATCAATATATTATTGGGTTGGTTAAACGTTTCTATTGGAATGAAAGTATTAAGCAGTTCATTAAAAAAAAAAATTAAGATAAATTATAAAAAAAAAAAAAAAAAAGAACATAATAGAAATTTCATTAATCTTCACTGGGTTCTATTTATGTCGAAATGTGTACTAAACATTCTGATTCCTTTATCTAATTTCATTGATAGGTAGAAGTTAAAGCTTCAAAATGTTTTAAAAATAATTAATATAAATTTATCAGAAAGTTTGACCATTATGACAATAGTTATTGCTCAATTAAACATTATGTTAAGACCAAAATCAATAGTTCAAATCATTATTATTATTATTATTGTTATTTTACATCCTACATGTTAAACCACACTAACAGGTTGTATTGAACAGCATGGTTGGTGGAGGAGGGAGGGAGAGGACAAGGGGCAGCAGCCTACACTTCTAATGTCCTAAAAAAATAAATTGAAATAGTAACAAATCTAAACAACGAATATATGAAAAACTGATTAACAGTGATAGATTGTTAATTTTCACTGTTTAAACTAATTATATAAAAACCGTTAATCTTCTCTCAATTAAATTAAAAGGTCTTTTGTTTTGAGCTGCCTATATCTTTGTTGAGAGGAATGATAATGCTCTATTTATGCTATGTCAAATGTCTCCTAAGTTAATTATAAGTAAGAAAATGGTTAACCTTATAAATTTGGCAAAAATCTACAGCAGAATGTCCGAACAAAAAGAAATTAAAAAAAAAAAAACTTTTTAAAAAATTGGTTAAAGTGCAAATAAAAAAATTTAATTTATGTAAATGGAGATGAGAATTTGATGAGTGATGAGCATTGAAAAGAAAAGAGTAAGTGATTATGTAAATAAGTACATATGTTTGTTATTATGTATTATTCTCTGAGGCTCACATAAGTAATATTTAGTTATCATCTTAAATGGGTCTAGGCTTTATCAATTAAATTTAAATGGAGAATGTCAAGATTCAAAGATAATTATTTATGCTTAGTATGTCCATTTTACTGTTTTTATAGCCCTATAATAAGTATGTGTATTTTATAACCAAGGAGGATAGAAAAGGGTCTATCCTTTGTAAACTGATAGCAAGTGGTGCCAATTGTAGGTGCCATATTTTTGTTTCATGACCAAGGTTAACTTCCACTTTGATGTTGGTGGTGAAAGATTTATCTCTTGAATCACACTTGTGTCTGTTTCTTAGTTCTGAGTTTAAAAAAAGGAGTCTTTGGAAAAATGTTTTTCAACCATTGAATATTAAATAACATTAGGTATATAAAAATATTGCTGACTTTTAATTATTGTATATACTGTATATTATCCTCCCTTAAACACAGTGAAGTAAAATTCTATCCTTGAATGTGGCAACCCTCAAGTCCCTTTATTCTTTAAACTATAATTTAATTTTCATGATTAAAAAGTCAGGGTAAAATATATATATATATATATATATATATATATACATAAATATGATTAAGGTTGTACGTACTTCTCATAGAAAGGTCTGTCTTCTTCCGCGATGTAGCGAACTCCATGAAGGGTGCTGTTTTCGAAAAATTCTTTCGTCTGGTAACTCCAACTTGCTTTTAGAAGTTTGTGCTTGCTATAATTGTTATTTCTCTTTCTCTTTAAGATATCTGGCATATTTTTCAAGGAATCCCGTTAGTTCCTAAAAAAAAAAAAGATTTTGCGAGCAGAAGTAACTTAACCCATATTCCTCAGCCCACGATAAATCAGGTACCTGTTTGGTAATCACTGACACCAGACTGGCGTGATTGTATTGGCTCCAATCGATTCCACAGGTACTCAGATTCGGATGGAGATAGCTCGATAGCCTGGCATTGTGGCATGAAGCACGTCCAGCTCATTATGTAATTTTCCATTTATCGACACACAAGGTCATGCGGTTCAAATAATATAAACTAAATGATTTCTGCATTCGAAACATAATAGCTGTGTAGTATATAGTAATAATTTAAGGAATATTATAAAAGTCATTATAAAAGAAAGAAGAACGTATTAACTCCTCCTAAAAGAAAAATCATCTTGCAGAATATAAGGATCGAGATAGATTACAAAACTAAAAAATGATATTCAGAAAGGTAACGTTTGGAATGGTCATGTAGAGTATCTGGACTTAATAACGAACGGATTGTAAAAGAATTAGTCATCACTAAACCAAGAAATTAGCTAAGACTTTAATTGGAACTAGTAGGCCCGTACGAAAAATTCGCACAGCATATTGTTTTCAAATGCCAAATTAATAATAAAATAATGCAACGTATCAAAAGATGAAGAAATCAATTATTACTTTATCGATAAATATAATCGACAAAGTAAATAAAAATTAATTTAAATCTTCATTAATGTTTGGAACCAACATGTTTACAGATTTCAATAAGCTGTATCTTTGCTAAAAATTGTCCGATTTCGATGATTTTTTTTTTCTTTTGTAGGGAATTTAGTGATCTTTTATATATTCATGGGCACAACCGAGGGAAAAGTGTTTAATTTTTTAGTTATTCGCAAATAAAGTTTGTTTTCCTTCATAACTTGTTTGCCTGAATTTTCGGGGTGATTGGACTATTTTGCCCGCCTGAATGAGAAGGAAGCCTTCGAAAATGGTGGCTCAATCTGAGATTTGGTGAAGAATTGACGATGATGGCTTGCCGATCTAAAACACCATCGATAAATAATATAAACTCCTCCTCTCTCGATCATAGAGGCCTCAAGTCGACGAAATGAGACATTTATTCAATGACAGTACTACAATTAACGTAAGGTTGTGTGGATGCGAACCCTATGCCTTGCGTTACCTCGAAAATACTACGTTTTTGGGCTTAAAAACGCAGGATCCGGGTCTTTCTGTACACATCAAAATCTTCAAGATCCAATTTATCCCGTATCGATCTACAGACCTACCACCGTTCCAGTATTGAAGCCTAGCAAAATGTTTGTATCGCCTTTATTTATTTTAGAAAGAAAAACAAAAGTAGAGAATACGATCTGCTAACTCCCCGTGAAATTCTGAATCCAACGGTACCCCATTCATGGTATTTGAGCATGACAGGAGCTTACATTTAGTACAAAACCGATGTCGAGCCTTACTGTAATAATATATGTAGGAATGGGGATGGGGATATTGTATCACACATAGATACAGGCTTTCCATTTTGGTTGGGAGAGCGATGAATACGCCTCTTCTCCCTCTCCCCTCTCCCTCCCATCCTCAAATAAAACTCAGGAGATTATCTTATGTACAAATATTATGAGTGATAATTAACATAATTATTTTACTAAAAACGAACATTATAAGACTATATATAAAAATTAATTTATGTATATCTTTATATATTAGTTTTTATATTAAGTACGGATATATTTGAAAATATGTTAACAAAGCAACTGAATATATTACATATTCATTATCATCATTCAAAGGTTTGAGCCAATGAGATGAACTTCCAATTCTCTGAAGCTTCAAATTCGAGGCGGGAAATGTGATAACATCTTCAGGTTAAAATGGAAGGGTGCTAATTAATGAATTATAAAATCATAGGGTATGTTGCAACAATATAATTATCTTTGAATATAGACTTAAATTTAAATAATAGAAACATTGGGCATGGTAACGTACTAGCCTACCTGTTTTTAGGCCTAAGTTTTGCCATCTAGTCGACCTTTCCTATTTCCTTAATTGATTTTAATTAACATATTCTATTCATTCGTGTGGATTAATTGCTATTGATTTTGATTTGATTTTCGTTCTTCGAAGCATTGGGAGGGCGAAACGATATTCTCGCTTCCTCTATATTTCATTGGGGGAGGATGGGGGAGCGATCGCCCCTCCCTCCCCCTGAAATGTGCGCCTATGGTATCAGACCAGATGTTAACTATAAAAGCCATAAGAAAAGTAGAGTATTGCTGAACCACAATTGTTGGTGGAATCAGAATAGACCCTCTGGGTTTTCTAATCCTTTTTATAAAGTTTTTTTGGAACTTTGATTAATGCAGTTTTATTTTCGAACCAATTAATCCCCTTGAATTTGGTTTCTTTCAAGTGTTTTGTTAAGATCTACATGACAGAATTGAAGTTATCGCTGCTAAGTGACCAATTTATCTAACATTCTTTTTTTTTTTTTTTTCAACTTTCATGAATATATGACGGCTTGAATATAATTTTTTAATATTGATTATTATAGTTCTTCGTTCCATTCATTATTGCTGAATATCATGCAACTCAGACAGTAGTACATATATATATTTTAAGTGTTAGTAAACCTTGGGAAATAAAGATACACCCCCATTATATTGATCTTTTGATCTTCCTCTACTCCTTATAGTTTAAAAATCGATTTGGTTTTAATTTAATTTATTGATTTTAACTCCTTGTTCGGTAAAATAGCGTGGTAAAAAAATACTGATATAAAATATTTAATACCAACATAATAATATTATTATTATTATATTATTAAGGCAGTACCTGAGTGGGTCGTAGTCACGTGAGGTGATGGAACCCATCTTGTTTTAATTCTTTCTAATTTTATTTACATACCTATACTTTCGGTTTTCAACATCAGAATTATTTTTTAAACGAATTGGAGCTGTTGCTGCGTGTTCAAGAAGAGGTTTGTTACAGTTTTTAAGGAATTCAGGAATTTGATGTTCATTTACTTGATGAATTTTAGGACCTTACTAGTGTGGGGAACTACTCCGGAAATTGAACCTTGTCATTTATTACCGACTCCTAGCGTCTTTCTAAAGGCTGTTGCCTCGTAATAACCAGAGTGAGACTGTCAAGATTCATTTCTCATTCTGATTCAGGAATCAACATTTATTGCTCTAATTGTATGTATTTTATTTTTGTATGTACCAGTTACATACTTAAACTTAAGGTTTAAGAGGAGTTCTCTAGAGCTTCTTGTAAAATTCTTGTTCAGAAGACATTATAACCATGCAATGCCAAGTCAAAATAAGAATGGTAGGAGTTGAACAGACCAACAGATTCCAAATCACAGGCGTCGTGTAATCACAGTGGGACGAGTAAGGAAAAACTAGCGACATACCCTAAATGTTTTTTTTTTTTTTTCTTTCCTTTAGAAATCCAAAACTAGATAAACTGTTTTATTCATAACTTCGTGAGAATATTTTCAGTTGGCAGAATATTCATGTCTCACTGTTTTTGTTTTTTTTTTGAATAATTTAATTGAAAAAAAAATATATAAATATTTAGCTGATGTCGGGAGTTTTCCCTTACTCGTCCCACTGTATTGGGGACGCGTCCCCTCTAATGTTTGAAATTTTCCTCCTCACTAATATTTTGGATGAACTGTATGTTGATGACCCTGAGCGAGCTGAAAAAAAAAGTTAAAATCTTATATAATGAATAATTTCATTATTATTATCGTTGCCTCGTAATATTCCTTTGTCTAAAATCAATTCTTGTTTAGCAGGCTTTATCCTGTCTCCAAACTCTGTCTAGAACGAGCAATAGTGTGATTGTGTTGAGCTCCAGGATGTCTTCCTGTGCGACTCAAGAGAGAGAAATGTATTTAACTCTTTGGTATTATAAAATGTTTTTTTTTTCTTCAAAATGTCTCATATCTATGTTTTTATAATTTTGAGTTGAGCGGATAATTCGCAAATACTACATTTAACCATACGAATACTAAACTAAATCAGCGTTGGTTGACCGTGGTTTAATGCCTTACCACATAATCAAAATATAAAGTTTAATGCACTTGTTCGACGCAAAATTTAACGTTCTTTAATTTATTTTTAAGAATATATTTTTCTCTTTGATGCATTTTTTAGGAGTTATAGGTGAAAAAACAAACAAAATATCGAAAAAATCTGACTTTTTTAGCTGTAAAAAGTTTTCTCTTGGTAGCCCGTTACATGTCTAAACCCATATATACAAGTTAAAAAAAACTTTCCTCACATTTTTCGCAATGGATTTCCCGTTTCGATGATCAAATTACAGGCCTAATACTCCTTAAATCAGCCGCCATTTTCGGAAGAAGCGGCTCTGGAACTGCAGACCAGATCCTTTTTACTCAGAATAACATACACTTCTTTCTTTCTTTTTTTTTTTTATATCTCCAATAACTAGGTAAACTGTTTTATTGATACCTTGTCGGCTTGGTCTAGTTCCTGAGAATATTTTCAGTTGGCTTAATATAAATTTTTCACTGTTTTTATTGAATAGTTCAATTTTAAAAAAATAAATAGATTTAACCGATGTCGCGAGTTTTCCCTTCTTTTTCTAACTGAGCGACGCCCAGAACGAATATGGTCTTTTTTCATTTTATTATTAACCTTCCGTAATCAAATAAAATAAAGCACTATAATCGGGGCTATTTATTATCATTATTACTATTAAAATTTAAAACATAAAAAAAAGGAATTTGTATTAAAATTTTATCATTAGAAGTAATTATGACAAGGCCATAATTGATTATTATTTATACTTTACGTGTTCATCTGTGACAGCAATAGACGCCAAGAAGGGAGGAGACAACTATTTTAGAACTGCCCTTTCTTTGGTGCCTGAAAGACGTAGTGCCCTCAGCTGCCTGAAGCAAATCATAAAGGCAGCGCCCTATTTTAGAATGTTTTTTTGTTTTGTTTTTCCTAAAATGTAGATGAAACGTAAAAGAAAAAAAACATGAATGAAAAATATATTTTTATAAGGAAAATAGAAAATAGAATAGAAAATAATTTTATTTTGGGACGAAGAACCTTTAGAATAACAAAAAAGTACAAAATTAAAGTATTATATCTGGCCTAAGTGAAAACAAACATCAAAAGTAAAAATAAAGAGAAAAAGTAAAGAAAATATTAGTTAAACATACTATATACAAAATTTAAAAAAAATCTATATACAAAACACTCGAAACCATGCCAAGACACTTAAAACTATGTACAGTGGTAAAACATAAGTATACACTTTAAAAAAAAAAATAAAAAATACATTACATTCTTCTTAGCAATAAACTCTGTGTTTCTGCAGAAAAAAAAAGAAAAAGAAGACGAATCTGATAGTAAGTATTTAAGTGATGAATTATATGTAAATATATCATTATGTGAATCATTTTGAATAATATGTAAATTTACATAAAAGGTTAGCGGGGGGTATCTGACTGTTTTTGGGATAGAAATTGGAATAGGAGGGTTTTAAATCTAGATAAGGAGGGAGAATGCCGAATTTTGATAGGAAGGGAATTCCAGAAATTAACAGAGCGAGCAATTGCAACGAGTTTTGGAACGAGGCAGATCTGTAAGAAGGAATTTAAAGGTCTGAAGGTCGAGATCTTGTGAAAAGGGAACTGAGGACTTGAATTGGAGAAGGTTGTAGGCGTAAGAAGCACGATGATTGTTGATGATTTGATAGAGGAACGTACCTAGGAAATATTGTCTTCGAATGGAGGGGAAGAGCCACTTTTATAGAATATAAATTGAAAGTATAATCAGATTATTTACTGTAGGAATCGTAATTTCAAGTCAACATTTGAAGCGATTGAGGCACTACGATTTATGGAATAACAATGTAAAAAACTAGCGAAAACAATTGAACGATATTGTGTTATTCATTAAATATTTTCCTCCCATATTTCCGAAATTCAATATTAAAGATTCATAAAGACAAAATTGGATGACATTGACTCGTGGGTCCGTTCCAGTCACGCAAAGCGCGCATTAACTATGTCAATGTATTTCATCTCACAATCTGTTCCGACACGGTAGTCCCCAACCTTTGTTCCCTAAAATTGCTCATGAGATATAATGGCAATTCGTAAATGGCGCCTAAACGGAACGGAAAGCCCGAATAAGCAGTAATCGCTTTTCGATGGAAAGTGCTGTCAAAATAATGGAGAGCGATAGCATAACCAATCAAATACAAATTATAATTAAACTCACAACTAATAATAATAGTTATATTTAAAAAAACAAAACAATTTTCCTCGTGATAATAACACTTTTTTTTTTTACGTCTAACATGGATATTCTTTTTCTTTTAAGTATCTACATGATTTGTACACACCTAAAACAAAATGAATCTCCATGTTAGTCACCATAATCCGTAACTATTTAAATAATTCCTATGAGTTTTGATGAATTTTATTTACATATAAACAGCAGCCTATCAATTATTGACCTTAGTTGCAATAATAAATATCAAGTTTATTAACTTGTGTAATTTATATAAATAAGGTATTAATAAGATGGATGGCTGCCAGATGAAGACCCAAATATATATATTCGGCAACCTTGATGGAAATAAATCAGATTGTCCAAACAGTGTAAATCAAGTTGAATTCTCGGAATTTAAAAGTTTTTCAATTCCAGAAATATATGATATGTCCGAAGATCAAAGTCTATATTAAGAACATATTACCAAACTCTCAGCTTTAATTTTCTCAAGTCTTATTTTAAAAAACGGATTCTTAAAAAAAAAAACGCTGCAAATTATTTCACAATCGTTTATTATTTCCAAACAATTATACATCCAAAGTAACATTACCTTCCGAGTTACAAAGAAAAAAAAAACAAAACGTGATTCCAATTATAATTTTTATTTTTTATTCGTTTTTGGAATTCTACGCGTCCTGAAACGTGAAACCTCAAATTTTGAGAGGGGGTTAAGTTTTTGATTTGTTTGGTCGATTACAATGGTTGATTATTGAAAATAATATACAAAAACCATTCTCACTTAATGAAGACTTCACGGTGAAATAAAAATAAAATCGTCCATTTCTATTTTTTTTTTTTTATATTTACAAACTTTCTTACCATAGGTTAATGAATTTACCTTCTAAATATGTTAAAGAAGCAAGACATTTCTTTCTCTCTGACTCCATTTTACCACAGCAAAGTGTTCTTCTATAAAATAACACCAGTTTTGGTTGTTGTTTTTTGTTTGCATATTGTGAAATTTGCCGGAATTTACATGTTGTACCAAAATACAGCAAATCTTTTGGGAAGTCTGTTGGTTTTAGATCGATTCAACGGCCAAGAGTAGGACACATTATTCAGAAAAACCACAAGTCGGATAAACATACGAGACCATCATTAGCTTTTCCAATTATCAATTTCTGTTCACTATTGTAAATATCTGATGCATTAAAGAATTTTAACTGTATAGGAAAATGGTTTTTGCCTTAAATAGACCAAAAAAAAAAAGTCTGCCATGTAAGGTCAGTATAGCTTTCTAACCATTTTCATTAACTAAAATATTAAAATATTACAAGGTATACAATTTTTCGTATGAGAATAAAATCTCTGGGAGAAGCCAATTCGGAAATTCAGTTACCCTTCAACATTCGCGGGTTTGGTATCCACAAATTTCGGTTATCAGCTTATTAAAAATTAAAATACGAAAGAGTTCCGTATTTGAAGATTCCATATTTGATTATCCTTAATTAAAAAACAAACAAAAAAAAATGCATACTGAACATGCATTTCACTGCTGTTAGTGCAAAAGGTTGTATTTAAAAATTGATTGTTTTACAAGAGTGCAAAAAAACTCATTATTTCTTTATGCTTTTTTAGTATAATTTCATATTTTATTGTCCCCTGCTATTTTCCAACGTAGTAGACTACTTATATCAGTTGCAGACTACAAAATATCACCTTAGCCCAAATAGAATAAAAGTTGAAAATTTTTACATACAAACTTTTGCACTAATAGTAGTGATATATCCTTAATAGGTATGTTTTCACACGTAAAATGAATGAAACTAGAAAATCTATAGAAAAAATTCAACTTGTTGTTTGTTCGTAGTTAAAGAGACCAATAATTTCCTTCAGTCAGAACAAAACGCTTTAAGCTAGAAAATATAAAAATATGGGCGAAGTTCACATAACTTCGATATTTAAGGAGAAAATCAAGACCAAGATGAACTTGTTGAACTTCAATGGAAATAAACACAATCACAAATAAGACACAAGTAACCTTTCAGAAAATTAATTTAGTTAGTGAATAATTTGATGTATTTTTCCTTTATGAAATCCCAAAATTATCCACTTACGATTAGTGTGACAACTTTTGACCTATCTATGGCAGGCAATGAAAATGTCGTCATTTCATTTTAGTAAACATTTTAATAATTAATAGTCCTACAATCCATAATCATTTATAGATTAAATATTGAGATGTATGTTCAAATCTCTAGGAATATATGAGCCTTTCGGTTTACAGAATGATTACCTCCAATTTCAACTTTCTTTATTATTAATTTTAGTGATGTTTGCAGTGGCAAAGTTTATGCCTTTATTCACAGTTCTAAATTTCAACACTGCAGTTATCTACTCGGTAATAAACTAGAAATAAACTTTCCAACAAGAAATATCACCAAAATGGCATTACTCAAAAATGTTGAAATTGGAGTTAATCATTCTGTCAACTGAAAGGCACAGAGACTGAATGATGTGGTTTATAAAAGTAGATGGAGTAACTAGATTTTTATTGCCTACTGTCAATATAATAAATAAACTTTTTTAAAGTTTAATGGTTTTAATTATTATCAGTAAGCTTTAAGCTTTAGCTCCGTTTAAAATGCAACTTTATATAGCTCAATATTTCCAGAAAATAATTTTCATTCAGAGTAGAGCCGTAAGTGAAAGTTGTGTGTTGTGCGCACCAGATTTTTATAATATATTTGTTATTATTGCTGTTTGAAATGGAAAAAGATCCCTTTTAATCATTTTTATTTATTTATTATCAAAACGATAAGAAGAAAGAATTATGTATGACGTTCTTAATTTTTTCTTATTTTAATTTTATTAAGCCTAGAGACCTTCCGGGTTATAGACAATTCTTTCTTTTATTATGGGCTATGGGTCAAAAACAATTATTATAATGTTAAGATGTATCTTCATGAAAGGTTTTTTTTCTCTTCGCCAATGAGCTCCAGGATCTTTTTTTAAGTGACGCTTCGGATAAAATAGTTATTTTGAAATATATGATTCTATTTGTGTGTATTGATGAATAGCAAAAGAAAAAAGAATACATATATATATATATATATATATATATATATATATATATATATATATTCTAGGGGTACGGACTGATGACCGTACCCCGGTGTACTTAAATCAGGAATCGGGATGTGGTCTAGAAAACCATATCTCGCGGTCAAGATCTTTCAAGGTCTGTAGCGCCAACCGAAAAAAAAAAAAAAAGATATGGTTTTCTAGACCACATCCTGATTTCTGATTTAAGTACACCGGGGTACGGTCATCAGTCCTACGCCCGGTCGGTGTGAGTTGCCTCCAGTAAGCTGACGGGGCTCACAAACCGGAGGGTGGCTTTAACTGATGGACAGTCACCCAAATCGGACGGGTCACCCATCCAAATGTTAACCACGCTCGGCGTTGCTTAATTTCTTAATTTGGCTATTGCAAGCGCCTTAAGCCCGAACTGCTATACCAGCCCCTATATACACATAATTATATATATATATATATATATATATTCCGTTTTCGTAACGCACGAAGGTTATTTCAACCTTCCTATTTGAAACGATATTGCAATGATGGCACTACAAGCATTTTTATAAAAGTAAACTGTTTTAGAATTATAGAATTCAATAATCACGTAAGAGCTGGTA